TGTCAGTGGTGAAAAGAGAACTACATTTCTTATTAAATGACTAAACTGAAGAACTACAATATTTATTAAATAATCATTGTAATACCAAAATGGAAAAAAGACTACATGTTCCAACTGAAATAAAAGTAAAGGAGCATTTTGTACCTGAGCACAAAAAGTTAAAGTACTAAATAAGCTGGATGCACTAATGTGCAAGAGGTATTTTAATGTTGTATGTGTTTTAATTACAGCTATCGGATAAATGTAGCGGAGTAAAAAGTGCAATATTTCTATGTTATGGAGTAAAAATATAAATTAAGCTAGGCTAAATTAAGTTGCAGTGCCCCAAATTTAAATATATTCTGTTACATTACACTTCTGAAAGTTTAACTAGATTTCTGTCTTACTGTAGGTGTATTTCTAAGAAGGCAACATTCATAAAAGTCAGTCATAAAACTAACTGTTTTGATATCTGGCTTTGTCGGTAAACCCAAAAATTCCATCTGTTTTATATAAGTACTTAATACTTTATCTGTACATTGAATTAGATGACCCCAAACTAGCTGCGAGTTCCTCCAACCAACTGAACCAACAAGATTTTAAGAGAAAATTATATTTAAGTTATGAATTTTCCGGATTAACTGGTCAGCAATCAGTTATAGCTTACAAAATCCATCGGCTTCAGTGCTAGTGTGTAACTTATTTACAGAAAGAAAGAAAGACGATTAGTTTGCGACTTCTCATTCACTGACTACAATGGAAGTGACCTTATGAACACTCTGTGACTCTGCTGCTCTCTCAGGTTAGACGTTTCTTCCCCTGTTGATGACGTTACCTCCTGGAGGAGCGATGTGGATCGAGTCCAGGATAGGCCGCAGTATTTGGCCGAACGGTCTGGAGAAGGAGGGAGGGGATTTGGTTTGATATTTTAAACTGAATCATAACACAAAGATTGCACATTGTTTCAGGCCTAAACCAAACATTCAGATGTCACAGCATATTAACAGACTGTATCTACTTTTTGTTTTCCAGCGGGGTTAACAGAGTGTTCGTACAAACAGTCTTTCCACTCAAGATATGTGCTCAAGTTGCTTCTACTGAGTCAGTTCTATAGCTGTTCTTTCCACACCATGCCAATAGAAAAATCTGAGAAAACCACCACATTTAAAGGTGACATCGACACACCATACTCCACTCTGTGCACTACTACAATGCACTGATGCATCTATATAGAAATGTCTTAATTGTGCAGCGAACTTTTAAGATTTGGGCACATATTCTAGCAAATACTTTATAAATGATGTGCTTTGTCATTATCACAGCAGCAATTACTGCTGCCTGTTTGGCAGGAATTTGCGGTAGAACTTGTGATGGCTACAAAGAGATCAGTGTGCTCTATAAACTCTTCTGAGGGCTACAGCGCGTTACCTTTTTGGTTCACTTGCCATGTTTGAAATGTGTGCAACACATAGAAACAGACACAGGGAATACACACTTCACGTTATAATAATCCATATGTTTCATGATTTAGCCATACGTAGTTATAAATGTGAGTACAAGTGAATAACAGTCATTTTAGCTGTTACTTTTAAAGAGGTAAGCTAAAATGTGTTTTTTGAGCTGTAAACAGAACTATAAAGTTAAGCCAGATTTGCTTTGATTTCATCAGGGCACCGACGTTGTCTTTGAAACAGACTTGACTGAAGTCATAGGCAGCTGACAGACTCAGTTTTACACTCACGTTGAGAGCACTTCAGAGGGAAGGTCGGTGATGTAAGAGGGGATGGACCTGCCCGTCAGGAACTGAGCCACCTCGTTGGTGAAAGTGTTGCAGTTGTGCTCAAACAGACGATACCGGTCACCTCTGAACCAGGAGAGAACGGAAGACAGTGAGATAACAGCTAACGAGTATATAACCCTAAGAATTAGATGGATTACTACTGATTTTAACACGTGTGTCTGCTTTGGGACATCATATTCAATATATAAACAATGAGGGAAGGAGGAGTGGAGAAGAGATGAATAACATTTACTCAACCTGTATGTACTTTCTCCCAGGGAAGAGAGGTAATCCATAAAGATCTCCTCAGACACTTCAGTCTCTCCCAGCTCTACCACTGTGTCTGGAGGACCCAGCATCGTCCCACCCTGACAGACAAAATGTGCACATTATATGAGGGAGTAATCAAATCACTGATGTTTTATTGCTCCGATTGCTGTCTGTGAAGAGGTGAGAAGGAGTGAGAAGTGTGAGGATGAACTGAACTTGATTCTTAAAGGTAGATTTGTATCATTTTTTATTTCAACACACCTGTGATCGTGCATATTTGCCGCACGGCTGGAATGGTATTTGACAGCAGAAACCTGTTCAGCTATCTCCAACATCAAACAGCAGGTTTTATCAGTCCCTCTGGATTACAGCAAGGGTGTCTTTCTAGAGCTGCCGCTTTGCACAATCACGTACAGACATGAATCTCCAAGAGGCTAATTAACCAGTTTCCGACTTTTTTCCTGCTTGTTCTAATTTCATTACCGTTAACAGTGGCTGAGGCCGGCAATATTCTCTGTTTTTAGATATATTTTCCAAAACCAACCATTTGCATTTATCCTACTAACAAGTATTGTCTGTGCAGCCAAAGCCTGATATATCTTGTTCCTCTTGGCCGTAGAGCTCCATTAAAACCCAACAACGAGCCACATTGTGGCACTGTGTAACAAGTTCATTCATTATGCAATTTATTTTGAGTCAACCCCACAGACACATGGTCCTGCTGCTATAAATACTCACTGACACACAAAATGTGTATTAATCCACGGCTGGAAAAAAAAAAAACAGTTTACCCTTGTTTGAGTAAAATTTGATAAAGACTACCATGCCCAGCTGGTTATGAAGTGATTTTGCTATTTTTAAGCTGTTTTAAAATGAAACTACTGTATATATGTGTGACACAGGCAGCGAAGGAAGTCATAAAAGTTGTTTTTGGTCTTTTGATGGGGTCTGTAGACAACAAGAAAAAAAAAAAAAGAATTATACCAGCCTCATCCTTTAAAAAGTACTCTGGGGAATGCAGAAAATCACAAACTGAAGTCGAGGTCATTTCAGCAGATTTCAAACATCATCACAAAATAGCACCTGAGAGGATGTAAGAGCATGTGAATGACTAATTCTGTGATTTGCTGAGAGGCCTTCTAGTAATTAGCACCAATGAACTTAGAAACCTGAGATTATGTCTTACACATGACGACATTGGCTTTTATAAACACAGAAGCCCACATTCATATATAGAGGTTTGGTTTAAGCAATACTGTGCATAGCTGGGACACATAATCTCAGTCACAGGAATCAAAACAAGACCTGTTTGGGTTTTCGGGTCTGTTTTCTCTCTGTGTGTTGTAACTCTTCTTTTGCGGACATATCCTTCATGAGCCTGTTTGATGAGACAGCTAGGAGTCAGTCGTCTTGTTACAGACTTACCGGTGAACAGCTCGAGATCCCCTCCCCTCCGAAGAAGAACTCATCACCGTATGCCACTATAGCCGTGTGCCTGAAAGAAAAACACAAAATTAACACAGGGGTAAATTCAGGTCAGAACAACTCACCATTACCCTGGTTTATTTAAAACTGTCACACAGTCCCTCTTTGCCACATAAGAAGCAACAAACCAGAACCCGATTATTACAGTAATAACAGTTTAATAAATACACTTAAATGCAAAAATCCACTATCCTACCACTCCCCTCACCCAATATTGCTTCACTTTACGATTTCTTATTTTTTTCTGAAATTATTTAAGGCAAAGTTCAAAACAAAACAAATGAACAAACAACAACTAGAGGACAGAATTAGACAAACTGCCAGTAGCTGTTTTTAGCTTTGTTCTGTGTTTTAGAGGGTCCTACACCTGCTGGACCCACACCATTATATACACTGCCAATATTATACACTGTCAATAATACACATATTACATGAGGAGCAATGTTTTCGTGACTTTTAGGTCACAGGAAAACCAGCTTTGAAAATAGCAAAAAAAAGATTCATACCATATACCGTCCAGTTGCTTTCCTGTAACAGAAAGAGGGAAAGTAGTGAGAGGAAGAAGGTAGCAGAAGACTTTCTTCTCCTTGGAGCTGTAACTTACAAATGAAGCAGTTTGATGTCAACCCCCAATAACGACCTTTGAACCATTCCTTAGGATGTGGGGACATAAATCAGTCACGCTTTACAGTTCATCAGCAAAATAAACGAATACAAAATAAGTAGGCCACGGTGGCTTGGTCATAAATCAGTACGGTGGACGGCGGCGACTGCATGAAGCCACTTTACGGTGTAAGCTAGAGAAGGCATCTCCACCCGGTATTTGTTATCATCACTTATTAGTCCCCCAGGCCAGGTTACATCGGATTTCTTCAGCTGTACTTACCTAACATGATGGGACTGAGGCTGCGGGCCATCCCTCTCGATAGATCATAAATATATAGTTGTACATTGTATCGCGTAGGATTCTTTTCCATAATGTAAACCCCGAAACAGGCTTTTATTTCTCTGTTGAGTCGCTAAGCTAGGCACATTAAATGGCACAGCTGACTGGGCGGTTCAATGAATGATGTCATCACGTCTAAAAATACGAAAACACTTCCGCTTTCACTGCTTTCAAAATAAAATGTTTGTGGCGAAACATAGATATAAAATACTGTAAGCTTTAGTTAGAGATGGCTTTATTTTGAAAAAAATGTGTATCTTTTCCGGTATTACCCGCTATCTCTACATGACTTGACACAATTTAATTAAAATAACCGACTGCGGTTTTTGTTGCAAATGTGCCCCCATGATCAAAGGGAAATTAACAACTCAGTGTCCCATCAGTCCGGAGACTTTTATCTCATCAATATTGTGCCCCACACTTCAGTCCAGCAGGAGAAGGCGTTTTTGTTGGATAAAAGTCATATTGTACAAACCTGTTACTTTCACAGAGACTGTCGTTCCAGTGTTTAGATATTGTGGATCATGGATGTGTTGCAGTCCCTGATGCCCACTAGAAGGCGCTGACGGATTATTATTTCTCTGGTCCACATTCCGAAGCAATAGGTGGCGGTAATGCACCTGGAAACCTGGTTTTCAACCTAAAAAAGAGGAAGAAAAGCAGCAGACTCAACCATAGACATATAACAAATATCGCTCTCTGCTGCTCAACCAAAATAGACTGGTCGAGGGTTGAGCAGCTGACATCAACCAGAAATGGCTGCCACCGGAGTCCTTCCCTTCATAAGGGGGGTAGACCTCAGTGGAAACGACTTTAAAGTAAGGATTCTAAGCACTGTTTGTTCATTTTATATCCACCGCTGAGCTGAGTTAAGATAACTAACGTTAGATAAAGATAATCCGAGTTGGAGACGCAGAGGAACACACGGCTAACGTTAGCTTATCTCTCCGTCTCTAGCGTTGGGCGTTAGCCGGTTGTCCGATGATAGACATGGACAAAGTAGCAGTCAGGTCTCGGCCGCAGGCGTCCTGTCTGGCGGTCAGTGCGTTTCTGTTCAGGGGAATAGGATGGTGAAGGGTACTTATTTACTTTGTGAAATGTTAGACTATTCAGGGAGAGTTTGGGATTTCGTAGCTCTTGTTTCCAACGTCACGTTAGCTGGCTAATTTAGCTTCACTGTTGGCTAACCGGCTGTCTGGGTCAGAAGACCAAGCCCCGTGTCAGAACATGTCCGCACAATTACAGCATTTAACTTACAGTAGATAACACTACGGCCAAAAGCAGCACCTTTACCTCACCCGTTAACGTTGTAGAGTCTGTTGAATGGCAGCAGCCACCCAGAGTCGTCACAACGTTACTTTTAGGATTTGACATTTGACACACTTTGTGATCTTAGTTTGGGAGGCAGGAGCAGCAGGCCGGCTGGCAGCAGTGACAGCTGGGATAATCTGGAATGTATTTGAACTAACTGGATCATTTGTGCACTTATCGCTAGCTGCCATGTGGCCCGGGAAAGTAGAACAAATAAAGTAGCTGGGAATAACTTGTGTATGGCTCATGATTCAAATCTAATTTTAGCCAGCGTAGGATGAGATCATTTCCTCTAACCAATTGTGCCCTGGATTTGAACGACCGTATGCAGCACCGTTTATTATTCTGACAGTAAAAGATAACATAGAGTGAACTTCACAGCTGGCCAGATGTGTGCTGCGTACTTGAGAAGCTGATATGTGACTGACTGATTTGACCTGTCACATAATAACAGTTATGAAGTGAATATGAAGAAACGCATACATTGAGTTTACTGTTCTTATACTGATGTATTCACAAGGTTAAAGCGCAGTATTTGATACATTCGGTAATGATGTGGAAATTATGTTTAAGTTTTTTGTTTTCACTACTTCAGGTTCTAATGATTAGGGTAACTAAATGTATGCATGCAAGAAGTCCTCCTCTCTCCTCATCTTCTTTGTCTCCCACCTATCTCACCCGTCTCTCTCTACACAGGGTGGGTACTTCCCAGAGCACGTCAAGTGTATGAGCAGTCTGCGATGGCTGAAACTGAACAGGACAGGACTGTGTTACCTCCCAGAGGAGCTGGCCTCTCTGCAGAAGCTGGTGAGACATTCAGGGCAACTTACTAGTTGTTAGCCTGTCCTCACATCTCATGTTCTTGTCTTAATTGTCAGTAATAGTGATAGTAACACTTGTCAATTTATATTATTAGTCATAGTTAGTCATTTCATTATGCTTGTGTCTACTTTATTAACCGGGATTTGTTCCATTTGGTGTGCCGTGTATTACTGCATTGTTGGTAGCAGTGTTGTCTCTGATGAGTCAAAGCATTTCTTTTTTTAAAACTTCATGTGTGTGTAACAGAGGACGTCATGTCAGCAGATTGGTGCACTTTATCAGTGTAACCTCACCTGATTAGGAACACACAGCGTCCTATTTTAATCCTCAATATCTCTGATAGGATATTTTATCTAAACCTCCAAAGCTGCAATCAGCAGGCCGCAGTGAAAAGATGATCTATGCTAACATGCTTGATCTTAACACCTCACAGAGTGTAGGTAAATAAGATTAGTCTGTTGTAATGGCTTGCAGTCTCGGGGATGTGTTTCACTGAAATCTGTTTAGATTTGATCCTGTTTGCAGTTAGTTCATTCTGTTTAGAGACAACAGGGCATTAGTGCAAGCAGTACATTTCACAGCAGTGACCTATTTATAGGATTTTAGCTGACTGTGTTTTGTTTGTGCAGTGCGCTGTGTATCTTTAATCACAGTTTACTGTTTTTTCTTCTTTTAGGAGCATCTTTCAGTGAGTCACAACAGCCTGACCACCTTACATGGAGAACTGTCCAGCTTACCGAACTTACGGGTAACTGACACCCACACGTGCACAAGAACATGCAGATATCTTTGTAAAGTGTATATATATATATATATACTTTAAAGCTATAAGAAACGACAATGCAAAATTGTTTGTTAGTACTGTTGAACTCAATCTATTGCTTTGACAAGTTCACATTGTTATGGTCTGTTTCTACTTGTACCAATGTGTCGTTCTAATAGTGTCCTCAATGTGTTTTACTATGTGTGCAGGCAGTGGTAGCCAGAGCCAACAACCTGAAAAACTCTGGAGTCCCGGATGACATCTTTCAGCTAGATGACCTCTCTGTGCTGGTAAATAATAATCTTATACAATCTCTTTCTCTGCCTATCTCTGACTTTTTTTTTTTTTTTTTACAGTCTACCCACATTTTTTCCAACAACATGCTTCCTTTCCTTTTTTTCTGGTCCACTGTTTGAACTTCACACACTTCTTCTTTCCCCTTTTCTCTTCTTCAGTTATTTTTGAAACCATCCCAAAAACAGCCTTGACTTACAGACAGTATTTACAACAAAGACCATATCATGATTCTCCCCTCTTTTCCTTTCTTGTCCTTTCAGGACCTGAGCTACAATCAGCTGACAGAGATCCCCAGGGACCTGGAGAACAGCAGGAACATGCTGGTGCTGAATCTAAGCCACAACAGTATCGACTCCATCCCTAACCAGCTGTTCATCAACCTGACAGACCTGCTGTATCTGGACCTGAGCGACAACAAGCTGGACAGCCTGCCACCCCAGATGAGACGCCTAGTTCACCTGCAAACACTCACACTGAACAACAATCCATTGATGCATGCTCAATTGCGGTAAGAAGATGTGATTTTTACTTTACCTAAACGCCCAGACATTCCTAGGTCTCATGTAAGTCCTTAAAATAGGAAGGAAAATGTATTTATTTGTTGTAATGCTGCTCTGACTGTTGTTATCTCTGTGTGTCTGAGCAGCCAGCTGCCAGCCATGGTGGCATTACAGACTCTCCACCTGAGGAACACCCAGAGGACCCAGAGCAACATGCCCACCAGCCTGGAGGGACTAACGCATTTAGCAGGTAACACACACACCCACACAGACACTCAGAGACCACCTATTCAGGGACCTGACACATTTCCTTCTTACTTTTACCTCTAGGCACTTAGACCCGTTGGTACCTTTTTCATAAATTTGTCACTTTGTCTATTTTTCCTAACTGTCTTTCTGGGGAAACATGCTTTTTACAAACACATTCCCTCTGTCCCTCCCGTCTCTTTCAGATGTTGACCTGTCATGCAACGACCTGACTCGGGTACCAGAGTGCCTCTATTCACTGGGCAGTTTGAAGAGACTCAACCTAAGCAGTAATCAGATCTCAGAACTGTCCCTCTGCATCGACCAGTGGACTCAGCTGGAGACACTTAACCTGAGCCGCAACCAGCTCACCTCACTGCCTGTAAGAACAACAATAATAATTACACGCTGTTTAGAAAGCTGTGTGGCTGGAGTTGTTGGGCTAATAAGACCAACACTACCTGTATGACTGAATACAGAGAAATATGTAAATTTGGGCTAACTAACCTTTTTTTTTAAATGTATTAATCTGATTTAGTTTACTTTCAAATACTTATTTTGATGCATTTCCCTGTGTAATTAAAATACAATAACCAACTATAACTAAAATATATATAATATAACAAAAACATGTCTAACGTTTAATGCTTGCTTGTGTGTCTCCATCCAGTCTGCAATCTGTAAGCTGTCCAAACTGAAGAAGCTGTACGTAAACTCTAACAAACTGGACTTTGATGGGGTCCCACCAGGAGTTGGCAAACTGTCCAGCCTCACTGAGTTCATGGCCGCCAACAACAACTTGGAACTTATCCCAGAGGGACTCTGCAGGTAACACACAGATTGACGGTGCTGTGATTGATGAGCCACCAGCCTTTAAATGCATTGGCATTTTATCAGCACACACAAATGTGGTTATGTGAATTTGTGGTTTTGTGTTCTTGTCCAGGTGTGGGAAGCTGAAGAAGCTGGTGCTGAATAAAAACCGCCTGGTAACACTGCCTGAGGCCATCCACTTCTTGACTGATTTAGAGGTACAATGCTCACTACACTAGTAACTTTACTGGACAGACAATACTGGATACACGATAAGTTTGAGATTTGATTACTTACTATGAAAGTGTTAAAATGAATATTAAAGTGAGCTGGCTGTAATCTCCCTCGTGATTGGAGAGAAAACATATTTACTGTAACAAAGATTCTGTTGTAGTTAAAAGTGTGATTACAAAATGTATTACATAAGATAACATAAAGAAAAGAGAAAATATTATACAGTACATTTAAAGTTTCTCTACAATAATATACAGGAGGCTGTGGTCTGTAACGTCATGTTTGTATCTAATACATATATTCCATTAAGTATTACTCCATGTATACAAATTCTTATTGTTTAGGAAAAGATTAACTATTTGATACCCACACAAACCTTTTTCCATTAATATATCTTTCTGTAGATTCTGGATGTGCGTGAGAACCCTAACCTGGTGATGCCTCCTAAACCAGTCGACAGAGCAGCAGAGTGGTACAACATTGACTTCTCCCTCCAGAACCAGCTCCGGCTGGCCGGGGCCTCACCTGCTACTGTAGCTGCTGCCGGAGGAGGTGTGTGTCACTATCTGTACAGTTTGCACATGAATGTATTGGAATATTCAGTGTTCGTGCCTTTTTGTTATACTGGCAAGTTATTGACCATCATTTTGTAGAGAGGCTTAAATGTGTATCTGTGCGTACATGTGTCCAGGAGCCAGCCCCCGAGATCCACTGGCGAGAAAGATGAGGCTAAGGAGGAGGAAGGACTGTTCTCAGGACGATCAGGCGAAGCAGGTGCTGAAGGGCATGAGTGACGTCGCGCAGGAGAAGAAGAACTTGGAGGTAAGGAAGAAGATAAGGAAGAAGGAAGAAGGGAAGCTAGGCAGGCCACCGAGAGAATGATGAACACAACAGGGTTGATTTGCATTTTATTTACCAAGAATTCTGTTCATTTTGCAGGAGAATGGAGATTTGAAATATGCTGATTTAAAGATCAGGCGCTGGGACAAGAGTCTAGAGAAACCTCAGCTGGACTACTCCGAGTTCTTTATGGAGGACGTGGGGCAGGTAATCTATCTGTGTGGGTGTGAGTGGGTGGTCTCTCCTTTTTCAGTGCCCTTGAACTGCCCACTGAACTTAGGTGCTTTAGTAGAGTTAAGTGTAGAATTGAATATCTTTTGAAGATCAACACACATCTCGCATTAGATTTATCTGCGTTGCATTGTGCAGATATCAGTATACATGTCTCTTCTGTTTCTCCTGCCTACAGGTTCCAGGTGTAACGGTGTGGCAGATAGAGAACTTTATTCCTGTCCAAGTGGATGAAACTTTCCATGGCAAATTCTATGAGGCTGATAGCTACATAATTCTCAAGGTAACACATCAGATCTGCCATCATTTACCCAAGACACATGTCAGTATTTCTCTCGCCTTTCTCACGTTCCTGTTTTTCCAATTGCAGACCTTCCTGGACGACAATGGCGCATTGAACTGGGAGATCTTCTACTGGATTGGCCAAGAGGCCACTCTGGACAAGAAGGCTGGCTCTGCCATCCACGCCGTCAACCTCAGAAATTTCCTTGGAGCGGAGTGCAGGACGATACGGGAAGAGATGGGAGATGAGAGCGAGGAGTTCAGTGCCGTACGTACACACTGTACATACAAGCATAGACAGACAGACAGATGTACACACAACTAACGTTCAAAAAACGTCTGATACTTTGCCAGTCTAAGCTTAGCATGAAGTCACTGTGCTTTAAATGCACATTTAATTCGACCTTTATACTGTAAATAATCTAGTGTTACATGCTGTTGTAATTGACTAATTTTGGTTGTGTGTGCAGGTGTTTAACAATGAGATCTCCTACATTGAGGGAGGAACAGCCAGTGGATTCTACACTGTGGAGGACTCTAACTATTCTGTCAGGTAGGCTGGAAGGAGCTGTTTTTCATCCTTTTGTCTTTATTCCTTCTAAGTCAAGTCATATTTCTTATATTTTTATCTTTTATGGGAATTTATGTAGAGACATGTTTGCAACTTTGTTTTGAAAAGCAGCTCAAAATCAAGTGTCGGAATTTATTTTGTCAGCGTCTTCACAACGTCCTTTGTCCTTTTGTGTGTTTATCAGGTTGTACAGAGTTTACGGCAAGAAAAACATCAGATTGGAGTCTGTACCTGTGAAGGCCTCCTCCCTCGACCCTCGGTAACTCTCACACACCCTGTCTGCCTCAAACACCACATGACCCACTTGCATAGTTTCCCACACCCACCAGTAAACTCACTCTTTCCCTTACATACACAAGTCTCCTGTTCCAATGCTTTCCATTCCTCTTTTCTTTATTTGACACAATCACTGGATTTGCTGTAAACCTGCAGCTGAATTGTTACTCATTTATTCCTACTGCTGTTTGATGCGTACACTGTGTTTCATTTAGTGTGAAACTTGGTCCATAACATCCTGTCTTATTCTTTTTGGTAGCTATGTCTTCCTGTTGGACACAGGGCTGGAAATCTTTGTCTGGAGAGGAGCCAACGCTACCCTCAGCGGCACCACAAAGGCCAGGTACACAAATCAAGTGCTAACACAAACATTTCTGCCACCTGGCAGAAAAATCTCAAGTTTGTTCTCATGTTAGGGACACATTAAAAAAACAAACTTGATTCCAGCCCATAAATGTAGTGATGCAAAGCTGTGTTCTATGTGCATTCTTTCCCATCTGTCAGGTTGTTTGCTGAAAAGATAAATAAGAATGAACGTAAGAGCAAGGCGGAGATCACAACTCTCATGCAGAACCAGGAGCCTCCGGGTTTCTGGGAGGTACTGGGAGGACAACCAGAGGAGATCAAGAAACACGTACCAGATGACTTCTCTCCTGTCAGACCTAAACTCTACAAGGTAAGTCTTTTTAAATAGCCTTCATACATACACTCTATAACTGACGTCATGCTGTGAATGTTACTTATTGTGGACTGCAGTAGAAGTGTACATGCACAATTAGGGTAGTGTAGGTGTAACACAAATTGGTTTGTTGGAGGAGTTGGAGGAGGCGTGTAGGATTTAGTCTCATTTACTTCTGTCAGGATGTAGGATAAGTTTCAGCAAACATGGCAAAAAGTTAGTTTTATAAAAGTTACCTGCTGCAGCTTTAAAACAGGTCTGAAGACAGACAGCAGTCTCAAACAGGAAATCACAACTCACTGATGTTTTCACTGTCCTGTAGGTGGGCTTGGGTCTGGGCTACCTGGAGCTGCCACAGATTAACTACAAGCTGTCAGTCGAGCACAAAGATCCCAAGATCAAACTGGACACTCTGCCAGAGATGAGACTGGTACGTTTATCTGCTGCACAATCACCAGAACCTACAATTCCCTCCTTCCCATCCCTATCACTACCCCATCTCCTTCTTCACTGCTTTTTTTTTTCTCCATCCTCCTCTCCGTATCTCCATCCCTCTCCTCAGGTGCAGTCGCTGCTAGACACAAAGTGCGTGTACATCCTGGACTGCTGGTCTGATGTGTTTATCTGGATCGGGAGGAAGTCTCCACGTCTCGTCAGAGCTGCTGCCTTAAAACTGGGTCAGGAGATCTGCTCCATGCTGCACCGGCCCAAACATGCCTGCGTCACCCGCAACCTGGAGGGCACCGAGTGCCAGGTAATTATTTTATACTGCGCCGCTTCAAATACTTCTGCTGCAAGTAAAAATGTTACAATGGCAAGATTCCCATTTGAGCCGCAACCAGCTCACATTTTAAAAATCTGTCCACTTGCTTTACCTGCTTATAGTATAACGTATTCTAAATGTCTCTTTCTCAGGTCTTTAAATCCAAGTTTAAGAACTGGGATGATGTGTTGAAGGTAGACTACACCAGAGCAGCTGAGACTGTACAACAGAAGGACAACCTACAGGGCAAGGTCAGTGGTCTCTGTGTGTGTGTGTGTGTGTGTGTGTGTGTGTGTTTTTAAAAAAAAAAAAAAGAGCTGTGAGATATAAAATCTTGTATGTTTTTTCTTTTTTTTTTCTTGGGACCATTTTGTTTCACTTTAGATC